AGTCAGTATACGCTGCCAAAGAGTCTCAAACTGGGACGAAACGCCTGTTCACTACAGTCTTCTTTTCAATGTTTCTCTACAACTAATATCGATCCGTAAACATTAGGTTATTTACGTGTACCAGTTGGATTGACATCTTTCTTTATTATTATTATTATTATTATGTCATCGAGGAGAAAGTTATCTAGACTAGGCGTTATCTAGGAATTTGGATTAATTCCATTATAGATTTTATCACAAACCAAGCTCTATCAAGTTTCGGCTAACATATCCGATTCTAATACTATCGCGATTTTCACACTACCGTATTTATTGAAATCTTGCATTCGATTAACATTAAGTGGATAGTTTGTGAAGTAATTCATGAATGAATGAATGAATGCCTATTTCATTTTAGGGAATAAATAGGAACCGTATAGGTTTCGACTGGACACTAGTAACTAGTGCGGTGTGTCTAGTCCTTCTTCTGGTGCAGACGGAATTCTATCGGTCAGGTTTACAATGTGGCCACCATGCCACTAGGTAGCTCGCCATCACGGTGTACATTGATTTTGTGATGATATTAGATGGTTGGAGGCAATCGGCCACAGGAAGCCTTGCTTGACCCATGTTTCGTGCTAGTTGGCACTCGTCAGCAAGGCGAACCCAAATAGCTCAGTGATAACGTCTCTGACTCCAACATTGTGTGATGTGGGTTCGAATTTCAGAAGGGACATGAATTTCTTCCAGTTGATTGCAGATACGCCTTGCTGATTGGTGAGTGCCAACTAGCACGAAACCTAGGTGAGGCAGAGCTTCCTGAGGCCGATTGCCTCCAACCATCTACTACCATTACATTACAGGTTTGTTGATCATAACTTATGATTTATGTAACGGTGGCCTTGGTGTGCCCACTTTGTTCACTAATGAACTGCTGATGATTGAGGTAGTGGATTTTATATGATGATGAGATGATTAAGCGAAACGTCGACATTGGCATTTTTGTATCTTCTCTGAAGGATCTTATTTTAAGATGTACGCTGAGTGTTCATTTCTTGTTCAACAAAGAATACTATAGACTAACTGGTAGTGTGGCTGTAAGTTCCCCATTAACTCCACTCCCAGCTGATATTTTCCTCGCCAAGTTTGTGAATGGATCACTGAAAGAAGAAATTAATGAGTTGGGATTCTACTGTCAATAAATGGATGATATAACTCTGATGACGAAGAACGAGAATGAAGCAACGAACATTCCCGGCAATTTCAATGATGCGCTTGTAGTGAAAGCTGTCTACTAGCCAAATTGGTAGACAGTAATTTACGTCAGTGTTTACGTTCTCAAGATTGGTCGTGAGAAAATATGAACAAAGACTGATTGAAACAACCGACCATAGCAGACTTTGCGTAGGCGGATACAGTTAACTTATAGATGATCTGACATTCAAGAAACAGTCACAAAGAGATGAAAGATTAACTTTAAATGAGAAACAACCAATCAGAAGACTGTGTTTGTTTGCTTAACTAAACTATAATAATGTACATGTTTTCCTTCACGTTCCCCAGTGGAACATAGGGCTTCAGGCTAGTGGCTTGAAGTTTCTGTAGCAGTGTTTATTTTACGGGATGGGGTTGCTATCCTCATGCCCAACCTTTCCTCTTCACCAGAATTATTTCTGGCTTAGCGAGGTAAAGGAGTGCGTCGGTGGCCGGGGATCGAACCTCGGACCATGTGCATGGTCGGCGAGCGTCCTAACCGCTATGCCACCGACGCATAATAATGTACATGAAAATATATAAATATGCTTTGATATTTCCTTAATAAACGATCTGTTGACTGACCCTTGTTTTCTGTTGTTACACGCTTTTAGTAATAAACTTTACTATAGAGGAAGAAAGTAATGATAGTATCTCATTCCTAGGCGTCTTCCTGACGAGGAAAGAGGATGATACACTAGGAAGGAGTGTGCATCATTAGCACATATAAATGGAACTTGTTAAAGTGTTTCGATAATCCGCTCAAACGACTTTCTCAATGAGCAGCTTACTCCAATCAGAAAATTACTTAGTAAAAATGGTTATCCACATAAATACATTGAAGAAAAAAATATGAATTTAGCACCAAAGCAAGCCAGTAGGGCAAAAGTTCCGAAAAAAAGCCACTATTCATAAAACTGCAGTTCCTGCAGTGAAACAATAACTCAAAGCCTAAAGAATGCACTTAAAAGAGTATACAGTGCAGTAGAGCTACGTTGTCTCTTTACTACCACTCCAAAATTACACTCAAGAAATAAAGAGGAACTATCTAATTTCGCCTCCTCTATTTGTATCTACCAGTTTGGCTGAAGCTGCAGAGCCTGATACATTGGGTGTGCAGTCGAAGGCAATCGGTTTTAGGAAGCTCTTTAACTACTTCTCATGTGTATTGCTGCTTGTCAACATGTCACACCTATAACCTCAAAGGTATTAATACCACATATGAGATTAGAATTCGCCTCATCTAGTGTTGCCCTTCCCTATTCGGGCATTCGATTAAATCTTCTGTATGATTGTAATAAAATTTGTCTAGTCCCTAGAGTTGGTGCTGATAAAGAATTCATTCTCTGACGAGTTGTAAACATGGTGAAACAACTATCATTGCTTAAAATTAAAACACCTAATAGATTTGCAAATACTCCCTTCTTTTTCATTCCTTTATGTTCTTAATGGAACATTCTGCTCCAGGCTCTAAAGTCCAAGTGGTGGTGATGGTGATGCTGAACCTCTCACATTTTCCAGGCTTACTATTGGCTAATCAACTAGGTCAGATATAAGGGTTCGGTGGAAAGGGGGCAAACCCTGTTGGTCGGGGAGTATTCTACAATTGAGCAACCGGTGCACCAACAGATTATTATTTCAAGTTTAACCAGGGATTCATATCAATTACAGAAACATTGAAAACCACTAGACAGTACTGAACAGCTATTTGTTTCGTCCTAGTTTGGAACTCATCGGCTGCACGCGCCCACCGGGAATGTCCTGGGCTTGAAACAATGGTTCTCCAAACTGATATCAATCCCTGATCAAAAATCCCTACATACAAACCCTTGAAAACTATCTTGCTTGAAATAAACTGGTGGACAGTGACTAGCATATTTCGTCCCATTTGGGATTCGTCATCGGTATGCACCTGAGGCAGAGCATTTCAGTCTAATCAATCAACTGGAAAGTCCAAATTGAACCCTGAATATTATTTCTTCTTTTCATCAGTCTGTTTTTGGAGGGATTTGATTTGTTACAGGAAAGATCTCAGATTGATATCAGTTAGAGTACCATTGAAAATCACTATGGAGTACAGGACAGACGTTTCGTCCTAGCTTGAGACTCATCTGTGGTAGCCAGTCACTAAAGCGTTCCGAAGCAGTATCCCCTGGTTTTCAGCGGGTTCTCTAACTGATATCAATATGTGATCAAACTTTATTATTATTATTATTATCTATAGTTTGGTTTGTAAGGATTAGTTATGTTTTACGAGTTGATCACGGACTGATATCAGTTAGAGAACCATTGAAAACATAACTAATCCTTACAAACCAAACTATAGAGAATTATTCTGATGCTCGCTAGTGACTTACTACAGGTTGGAGCTTCCTGGAGTTCTAGTGAGAAGTCGTGACCAGTGAGGTCCAATTAGAAGTCACGTGTGTGGATGGATGTCCCACCAACGACAATAGTTGGGGTCGCGCTAAAATCACGAATTGGTAGAAGTTAAAATTCATGGTCTGGCCTTTGAGGTGACGGGTCCCAGTGGCTGAATGGTATACGAGCCAGCTTGCCTTGTAAGCGGAAGGTTCTTGGTTCGAATCCCAGGGGGTTCGTACTGCCGATGATTCCCAAACTGGGATGAAACAGCAGCTGTCCAGTACCCCCTGGTTTTCAATGGTTCTCTAACTGATAACAGTCCGTGATCAACTCGTAAAACATTATTATTATTATTTTTATTAGTATTATTATTATTAATATTTAATCTTTGATCCTGCACGTGTTGCACTTTCTAATACTGACCATCAAAAAACTCAAATAGCAGATAAGAGATAAATAAGGATGAGATTAAGGGAATTCGTCTACAATCAAGTATGATTTCTCTATCCATATTTATTAAATAGACAAATTCTTATCTCTGATTGGTTAGAATGATAGGGTAGTATAGAGATAGAAATTTGAATTTCCTCACTGTTGAAAAAAGAAAGTTGAATCACTCTAACCCACCCCCGCAGGCGTCCTCCCCTTAAGAAGCAGCAGTTCCTGTGTCTCTCTCTCTTATTCATTATATAAATATAATGAAAGAGGAGGGTAGGGGTGTCCACACTGTTTTTTCTGTTAAGAAATGTGTATGTAATAATACATGGTAGTCACATTTTGAATTTAATCAACACCCACACCTACACATACACACACAGACAAATAGAAATAGTGACTAGTAGACATACAAGCATACAAACGTATACAAACACCCTTATAAGGTTAAAGAGAGATAGATAACTAACTAACTAACTAACAATAACACAAGCAATAACACACTAAAAACCAGAAAACCAATCCAGCTTCAAGATTTAAAATGATAACAGCCAGACACACACACACACGCACACAACAAATAAATGCAATACATAATAATACATGTACACATGACATCAAGCAAGCAATGCAGCAGTGTTGTGATCAAAGGATCAAGTGTACGTGTGCGTATGTGTATGTGCGTGCGTGCGTGTCTGCCTGCCTGCCTGCCTGCTTCAATAAGAAATTTCATCCCTTTCATACGTGTGCTGTATATTTATTACACACCAAAGATAGATATATATATATATTATTATAAAATTTCTTGATTCAAATAAACAACAATTATAACATTCTTCTAATTCACACTTCTAATTGAACACGCACAGAAGCATCTAACCTTTTGCTGTTGATTACAACAGATCAAACTGGACGTCAACATTAATTAATAATTAAGGATCACATTCCAACTGATTTTACTTTCTCTAATGACTGATCATAGTTCACATGACTTTCTCATGGAAACAGTAAAACATCATCATAGAAATAATAGTAATACTAATACCAATAATCACTTTACAACACCTTCAATTCTTCACGGGACAACGACGAATCATCTAAGGTAAGCGATCATTCAATAAACATTCATTGATGTGTCTATTTTCCTATTATTGTTGTTGATTGTATTTAATGTGAATTGATCCAGAGCGCAAAAGGGGAGCCTCCAAGAGGGATGAAAGACACATAGTCACACATCGCCTGGATTTCACTGGTGGTAGCCAACAGCTATGAAGTACTGGCTTTTTGTCTCCATTTTTTTGACTGTTTAATATGTGGGCTTCAGATTTTAAATGTGGTACTCAATCTACTATGATGTAAGCTCATTTTTAGGGAAGGAAATGAAATGAAAGTTCCATTCTATGTTGAAATTCATTAACAGTTTATATGTTCTTCGCGTAAAGCATTATGGAGGCTAATTTTCTCATTATTATTATTATTATTATTATTATTATTATTATTATTATTATAATTCCCTTGGGTTCCAAGTGGAACATAGGGGGCTTCAACAGCACATCACCATTTCCCCTTGTTCTAAGTAGTCCTCTTTAGTTGCCCCTGCTGCTGCTGGATTCAACATAGAACTTGGCACTGAAGTGCAGCAGTTCGAGTTCCCACGTTCCAAATAGCACACAAAGGTGGACAAGAAAATGAGTGAAGAGAATCAGTAGAATTTAGACAAGTATAAGAGTGAAACAGAATGAGTAATGGTAGAAAGGAATATGAAAGATTAAAGAGACTGAATACATCTGCGCCATTGACAACGATTTTGAGCCATGTCACCTAGTGTCTTCAGTCATTATTGATTCTTAGAGTCCCGAGGGCCCCAACCCGGAAGTCCTTTAGTTGCCCCCCCCCCATGATTGCTCACAATTTTGTCTCCTAGTCCTCTTTGGCCACCTGAAGACAACCGTTTTTTTTTTATAAGAGTTTGAAGCCGGGTTAGAAATGCGTCATGTGAATTCACGCTTATCAATTTTCTTATCCAACAAGATGAACTGATTCGAATTACACTGCTGTGGTGTGCAGAAGATTTCTAAACTGACTTCAGGGTGATAAATGTCTGCCTTGTGTTTTTTGTGTTTTTTCGGTATTGTCATCTTCATATGTGCCAACCGGCTGTAGTTGGTAAGACTACTGCTCAGATAAGTGAAGGATGGGATCTTGTTCAAAATAGTGACTGGTGCTTGCTGCTTGCTTCTGTTGACAACTTGTTCGGTTTTGCCTGTAGATCTTCGTGTTTCTATGACGTGTTAGACATAAATCGTTCGCGAAGCCCAGATGTTTAACAGTGGTATTCCTTTTCTCATGGCACTACTGAATTAAGCCTTAAAAAATGTAGAGAATAACTTCTGTGAAGCACCTCAGTTGTAGACTAAATGGTCTCCTTATGATTGTCATAGTATATTTTATTGTAGCATCGTATCATTTGCTTTATTGATCATAATATGGTTTCCAAAAACATAGATACCTTATCATTTGATGTTATATCATTCTCAGGGTTCATATTCTCTTCCTCTAGGGATAGTGACTTATGAAATTGTTCCGCTAACTTAAAATATTTAGAGTATATGAGCGTTAGAACTTTTTGGTATTATAGAAAAAAGTTAATCTTATAGAAGTATCTTGGAAGTATCTTAAAACTTGAATATATTTGGTTATTTTTGCAGTGAAGTTATCATTGTAGGTTACACTTGACATTTAAAGGGAGGGAATGTTTATATTCAATTCGGTCCATACCATAAATTGGCAGAAGTTGGAATTCATCGGCGCACTACCGGTTTGGGTCCCACTGGCTGCTTAATGGTCTACGAGATCGCTAGCTTTATAACCAGAAGGTCCTGAATTCGAACCTCTATGGGTGCTGACTGTGAAGAGTCTCAAACTAGGCTGACGAAACAGTTGTCTATCCAGTACTCCCTGGCAGGTTTTCCAATGGTTCTCTAATCGATGTCAGTTCATGATAAAATCCTGAAATTGGTCTTCTTTGTTATTAGAAGTTCAAATATCAAGAATAGTATAGGTGTAATGACTGGTGATTGGATATAGAAGGAGAATGAGTCATAGGAGGATCCCAATCGGTAGACTCCGAATAGCTGGTGTAACACTCTACCAAAGCAAGAGAAGAGAGAAAATAGAGATTCAAAGGAGAGAAAGATAATCAAGTGTTGGTTTGTAGGGATTTGATTGGTTACAGGATTTTCATCATGAGCTGACATTAGTTAGAGAACCACTGGAAAACCTGGGAGTACTGGACAACTGTTCCATCCTAGTTTGGGACTCTTCATCAGTACGCACCCATCGGGATTCGAACCCAGGACTTTCTGGTTACAAGGCCAGCTCGTAAACCATTAAGCCAGCAGAGGTGTGAATGAGGCAAAAAGAATAGTGATATGGAAGAACAATAGCACTTTATTGGATATGATAAATCACAAATAGTGAATGGATCGGCGCCAGCTACTGACAACGATTTTGAGCCATATCACCAGTTGTCTCCAACCACTGGCTTCACCATCCTGAGGACCCCAACCAGTCAAGAAGTCTACACTTCCCAAAGTGACTGGTTGGCTTAAACTAACTGTTGTGGATCTGAGTGACTGATGAAGTCATGTTTTGGTTTGACCACCACTAGCTTTCTCTTTTCCAAGCTGATCCATCTTATGTCAGCTAACATTGCCCGTAGTTCGAGGAAGGTGATGGCTAGGCATGCGTTAACACATGTCTTAACCATCTCTCTCAATCAGTGTAATTTCACAACCCCTTTGATTGATTTCCTCTCCTAACCTAGCACTCGACTGATGGCTAACATCAATATTTCTCACATTATTATACCACTTAACGCGGGAGACAGAACGCAGAAAAATATGATCAAGGACAGATAGCCTTTTCGTATATTCCACTTCCAATGGCCATGTCTCACTCACAACCATAGAGGAGGACTGTTGAGCAGTACACACGCCATTTTGTTGACTGCCAGCCTGATATCACGTCTAATAAACCATAGATGGCGCAAGTTGGTGTGTGCTAAACGAGTCCAGATATCTTAAGTATGAATGATATGTTACCATCTGTTGAAGCTATTACACCACTAACTATCCACCTAGGTCTCTTCCTGTCATCCTGAATTATACTGAATTAAAACGAAAAGAGAAGGCTGGTTTATTGATAACCTTCGCAAACTTCATACAGTGGTATTCATTTAGAAGCCATTGGTTTAAATTCTGTCGCCATTCAGATTTCGCTTCTATCATCGCTCAACACATATGAGTATCCGTATGTTTACTCAGCTCTTTGTCAGATAGTCTCACTACTGATAATATACGTGTTCCAAAAAAGGACATCAGTTGTAAAAGTCAGTTTAAACTGAGCCATGACTTAGAGGGGAGGTGAATGTGTTATTGATGAAGCTGAAACCTAATTTTCAGTACACATGCACTTTTTTGTGCTGAAAAAAAGCCCTCCATTGTTAACTCGTTGAATGAGATTAGTCAGAATTTTTCAGAAATTGACAACTGTCATTTCGTTCGTCCCAATAATAAATTAGAAAGACTCTAGTGCAGTATTTCTTAAAAAAATTAATCGAGAAATTACACTCATTCACACTCATTTATGATCATAGTAACAGCTGCTGCTTTGGGCCACCATTTTTGTTTGCATATATATATTGGCTCAAATGAAATAAGGGAAGATGTGATTCTAAATGTGATTCAGATATGTTAGTTTTTATCAGTGGTATAGCACAAAAGTGCGAAATAAGTATGCGTGTATTAATGTCACTGTCTTGAAATATATAGTCAGAATTTTTATATCGCGTTTCCGTCGTTCCATCAATGATTGAATTCCTGCCTATTCGTTCAGTGGTCACGTGATCACTTCAATGTGTAGAGGAGGAGGAGGAGACAGGAGTTTGCTACGTACTGTTTGACTACATGCTTACCACATATATATAGCAGCAGCAAAACAATACTCTTGAGGTTTCGACAATTTGTATTAATTAATGTCTGAAAACATGTTGGCTTTCTGTAAAATTATTTGATATTCGATGTGACTGTATGATTCAGGACAGATAATTCAGACTTTCTATCAGGGAAGAGTTAGTTTTTTAATTGAATATTGATTTTCCTGTTGATTGATTGGACTGAAATGTGTCGGCTGCTTGTACGGACTCTTCGACGATGTCTGGTGATTTAACCTGAAGTAGTTTGATTAATTGCAGTCCAATCAATCAATAGGGAAATCAAAATTGAATTAAAAAACAGAAATAATAACTGATTCCTGTTGCACAAAAGGTGGTGATTCTCTTGGCCTGAGTGGTCTAATGGATAACGCTTCAGCATTTGAAACGATGAGTAGCGTGTTCAAGTTTCCGGGGGGAACACCATCACTCATTCACTGGGGTGTGTAGATACACCTGGATAACAGGTCTCACCCAACTAGGACGGAATGCGCATCCTGGATTCCACTGACTATTCACTAAACTGCTTCAGGAGTAAGTTCTGATGGGTGCCTTCCTCGACTGACAGGCAATATTAGCTGGCATAGGATGGATCAGCCTGGAAAAAAGTTAGCTTGTGGTTGTCAAACCAAAACATGGCTTCATCAGTCAATGAAATCCACAACAGTTAGTTTAAGCCAGCCACGTAGGAAGGTGTGGACTTCCTGACTGCCTGGTTGAGGTCCTCGAGATGGTAAAAACCAATGACAACTGGAGACAATCGGTAATAGGTCCCAAAATCGTCGTTCTCCATGGTTGGCGCAGATACAACCACTCCTTGAGACTTATAATACCCAATAAAACTATATTGTTCTTTGTTATTACTATTCTTTTTGCCTCATATCTCTTTACTGTCTATATTGAGCATTCCTTTCTACTTTCTCTTGCTTTGTGTGCTACATAGAGTGTGACGACTTGAACTGCTGCACATCGGTGCAAAATTCTATGTTGAAACCAGTCAGACAGTCTTCATTTATTCGGTTATTATTATTTCTTCGGGTCTCAAAATATATTCCTATGCCTTTGTTAATTGGCTTTCAACTACTAACTGTTGTGTATTTCTCGATGGA